TGTGACCTAGTTAATCCTCCTCGAACGTAAATAATTTCTTATATCCAGGGACCAATATTAACACCAATAATAATGTCAAAGTGGAAATCCAACGCAGAATTGCTCTTGCAAACAGCTGCTATTTTAAGCGATGAGATAATGATACAGTTCAGCTGCGGTGGCTAGGCCATGTCGCCCGAATGTATGAAAGCGCTTCAGCTTTGGAAGTATTCGATAGAGTACCCGCTTGTGGAAGCAGAGGTAGAGAAAGACCTCTATTCCGCTGGAAGGGTCAAGACCAGAGCGATCTTGTTTCACTTGGTGTTCCCAACTGGCGCCAAACATCGAGGAGAAACTGTAAATAAACGCTATTGTTGAGCGGTGCGCACGCCAATGAAGAAGAGGAAGATAAATTAAAACTCCAATATGTACTTTTTGGAATGTCCTTAAGCTCATTCACAGTTTGGGTTTCTATCTAAGAATAAAGGAAAAAGGGATATCTTCAATCTTGGGAACAGGAAAATATTGTAGGTGGCGGAATATGAAGTCAGGCTTGACTCAGGTGTAGATTTTGCCCTAGTGATGCAAAGCCATTGATATTTTTCATATTTTTTTTTTTGTTGTTGGAACTGACGCTTCGCTGATTGTCTGCGCTATGCTAATCGAAGAAAGTAGTAAGCAGAGTTTTTCAGTTTGATCGAACTCAGTATTGAGGTAATAAGACTATCGTTTCGATGTCAAAAACATGCACCTATAATCCACCAGCTATTACTCTCTTAAGCAAATGAAGACATCGATTATTATTGACATGCATGATGCGATGCCCATGTAACTTTTTTCTTCATCACAGTTCAGTTATTTTAAGGCGAATGTCACTGCCACGCGTTTCATATCTTAAAGACTATAAAAAAAAAGTTGCATAGTGTGAGATAACCGATATGCCGATATCCTCGAAACTTGTCTAATCTAATAGTTTAGCTCCATCGGTTGTTACAATTTTTCTTTAACAGAGCTTATAGATCAAATATAACCGAATAACGAGAACGATGAAACTCGGCAAATGCATGCCACGGTTGACTAGTGCTGATTGTACTGTGCATACATAATTAAGCTAATTCGGGCGAAAGTACATTAAAAAGGAATAAAACCCAATAAGCAGTAGTTAATAATGCAATTGAAGTCACAGGAACAGCTGTGATGACTACCAGTGTTGACTTGTAGTTAAATCTCCCAAACCACCGGAGATTCACTGAACACTGAACGAGTCAAAATAACAGCAGGAGGTGTCGGGATCACCTCTCCACGAAATGTCAATAACAAATGCTGCAAGCTTCAAACCTATATTTTTGGAGCTAAATCATTATTTTTACGAGGTGGGATAATTAAATAACGAGACTGATTATATTGCGGCGATTGTGGTAATACTGCGACCTTGATATTCCCTTTTCCTTCTCCCGGCATCCTTATCCTCTTCAGCAACGCGTCGCGATAAAATTTTACTCCAAACTGGGCGAAACAGCTTCGGAAACGTACGCTAAAACTGTAAAAGTGTATGGTGGTAGTGCTCTTAGTCGGTGCTCGCCAAAGCTCACAAGGTTGTCTCCGCACGCCCACCGCCCGAATATAGCTCGCATGACCAGGTCGAAGGTGAAAACGATGTTTATTGAAATTTTTTGATAGCCGTGGAATCATACACAAAGAATTTCTTCCATCGGGGCAAACCGCAAATGAAGTTTACTATTTCCAAGTACTAGAAAGATTGCGAAAACGAGTCAACAGAGTACGCCCAGACATCGCTAGTAACTGCATCCTTCATCACGATAATGCGTCGTGCCACACTGCCCTCAGCCCCCAATATTTGGCCTCTAAAGTGATCGCCGTGTTGCAAACAACCGCCTTATTCGCCCGATATGTCAACCTGGGACTTTTTTCTCTTCCCTTGAACAAAACCGGTTTTCAAAGGAACCCATTTTGAGTCGATTGAGTACATCCAGGCGGCCGTTGCGAGGGTACTCGCGGACATTTAAGTCGTTCCTGAAATGATGCGGAGCATTGAAAACGCGCTGGTATCGTTGTATAGCTGCCCAAAGGGACTAATTTGAAGAGTATGGCAGAGTTGTAGAATAATTTTGAAATATACGGTTTTTATGGAATCGGTCTCATTACTTAATCGTCACACCACGTATACATAATAAATATACGGTTCCGATAAAGATTCCTGAAAGTGAACCAGAGTATCGGTATGGTTCAAATATCTCAAAAATTTAGGATCTAGTTTACTAGGAAAAGACGGACATGGACAACTCGTCATTCTGGCTCGCTCTGTATAAAGTTTAATGGGTCTAACTCTTCCCCTTATGGTACTTAAATACATACTTCGAACCAAAGAAAGGTATATAAAACATATGTGTATGTATATTAATAAATTTTAGTATAGTACATGATTTAATGAATTTCAAAGAGCATGCAAAATACATATGTATGTATATTCAACTCCACATGTATGTGGAAAATCCATATATTTTTATTTTAGAATTTTCCAATAAAAAAACTGCTTTTATCAATATGTGCGACAGCAAGAGTAGCATTTTTGTGGTTCTCTGCACATTTCCTATATGGTCATTAATTTTGTTAATTAGTAAAACCCAATAAACATGTAAACATGTAGATTTGTAGAAACACACATAAGCGTATAAGAAGAAATATAAAAAATATCTCTCAGAGTTAAAGGTAAACAAAATCTGGAAGATCCACAACGCTAAAGAGAGAGTTTGCTTTCGAAGTCTGTAAAAACCAACTTAATTGCTCTTAGCCGATACTGGCGTTGCCACAGAAAAAAAATTGTGAACAGAAAAATTAAAAAAAAATAACATTTCATCAGCGGATTTTCCCATTTTGTTTCCATGGATTCTCCGAGCGATCATTCGGCAAACTTAGTTAAAAGGGCATCTTTTATTTAGTTATCGGAAAGTAAATTTAAAAAAAAAATTAGATAATGAGTGAATTTATGTCGATTTTGCCGGTGTTTATTGAAACTAGAGGTCGCTATCAGTTGATCGCCGTTGATGACCGTTCACAAAGCCGTACAGACGTAGATTTAGTAATATGGACGGCGATTTTTTGAAGAAGATTTTCGTCAGCGAAGATGCACATTTCTAACTCGTAGCATGTGTAAATAAACAAAATTGTAACATTTTAGACTACAAGAACTCTCATGTAATTGAAGAGTGATCATCACGCCAATAAAATATATTGCTATCTTGTACGCATTCTTTAAAAATGCCAACGATGGGACTATCACTTTTTGCAGTGGACTAAATCTGGGATTTTCAAAAGGAAATACAAAATTCAAGCTTACGCCCAACTAAAGCTGTCGGCCTCCCCCAGCAGGTCTTATGGTGGAACGAGTGATAAATGCACATTTAAGACAAGTAAGCTGGTCGCGCCTGGTTTTTTTCAACTGTGCTTTTGTGTTGGATCTAGGATGCTCTGTTATTGTGTAAGTTTGCAAAAATCATAGCATATCTTGAAAGACTGAAAAGTGAACTCGAACTTGATCAACATCTGTAACAACATCGTCTGGACCCCTTTTTACAATTTTGAGTTACCAACTAGCGAATATAGATAAGAAGGTCATTAAACTATTGCACTATCTTTCAAGCCAAACTCGACCTAGCGTGTAACGAGTCCCCGTACGACACTAACTACATATTTACATGCCATCTAATATCGACACATCTAAGAGAGGGGCTTTCTTTCTCTGGACCGAACCCGTCGAAACAGCTCACTAACTGGACTTAGACTAACTAACCTGTCTCTAGGCGGGTTAGGAACAACCGTTCCGACAACAAAGATAGGTAGTTGAAAAACTGGCTAAAGAGCCAGTGTGTTTTACACAGAACACAACTATCCACTTACCAGTCACACCCAGGGAACTTGAGAAGCATAAATATATAACACGAAACCAACTACGTTCTTACTAGATGGACTCCAAGCTGCCGTGTATGTTATCAAATTAGTGCTGCTAAGGAGCAAAAAGTGGAAGGAATGTGCGGGAACAGTAAAGCATGACTGCATCAAATTGTGAAGAGAACGAACTGAAGACTTAGCATGGCATGTGACAGCATCAAATTGTGAAGAGAACGAACTGAAGACTTAGCATGGCATGTGACAGCAACAACAGTACAGTTTTAGTCATAGGGAGTGTATCTGGTAACACTATAGACTTCGGATGGTCTAAGAGAGTCGCACAAGGTTCAAACAGGTCAACCTAACTTAATCTAAGATTTTTTGTTAAATTTTCTTTTAATATTTCTGTACACTTCAATGAAATTTTGTAAAAAATCAAAAAAAAAAAAACAAATTTTTTACTGTTAAAGTCATGAATTAACAATTATTATTAGTTTTTATTTTCAATTTGGAAATTCTAAGGCGAAAAGTTATCCGTAAATGTTTTAATACTGTATTTTTTCAAGCCACTTGCGCTTTCGTGTGATATAAATGTGTAAAAATAAAAAAAAATTCAATTACAGCTCAAAAGTAATTTATTATTTCGGTTATTAGTATTTTTGAACTGAAATAAAGATTTAATATTTTTAACCAATTATTTTTACTTTTTACTGTGAATTTTTTTGTACCTAAATGAATGCCTAATTAAACTGAAATGAGTTTTTTTTTTTTAATAAAAATTATTTGATTTAATTTTGTTCAACTCATTAAAGTTAATTTAAATAATTTAATTTATTCTTCATATAAAAAAAATACCAAAAAAAAATTAAAATCTCTCGACCTGGCAATACGAATTGCCTCTTCAGTGTATTTGCTCGGACTCTCTTTGATCTACCACTTGACCATATCAGCGTCACCAATCGCTGTTTGGCGCTTCTCCAAAAGACTATTGTATCTCAAAATAATTATTTTTAAAATAAACTTGCGCTCTCTCATCACAGATGACGTTCTTTATAGCTCGCTCGCACTCTTCTGCTTTTCACGGCAAACTGGTTTTTAAAGCTTACTACTGTGATGTGCTAGTGCCATTCTAAGTCTTCGCTTCAAGACGACCGGTTAGTACGGGACCGAACGCGGCAGTGATTATTTATATGTATATAGATATACATACGTATAGCAAGAAATATCCGTACATATATATTTATATATAACAAGAAATATTATAAATAGTAACATCAAAATAAACACTACGAAAACGAGTTCAAAAGCGTAAACACCTCAAGTCAAAGACTACATACATACATACGTCGAAAGTAATTTCAATTCTCCGTTGTTTTTTATTTTACTTTTTTTTTTGATTTTCTAATACTAAAATATGATAAGAAGACTCGTCGTATTTGTGTTATTCTTTGGTTTCGTACTTGTACAACCCTCGGCACTATGTAACACGGTACCAACCACACCAGCTGAGCGATTGCCAACCATACCAAGCGGTATTTTTCTGACAGAGGCGCAACTTTACGCCACACCACCACCAGTCAACGCCTACGACGACTTCGACGACTATGTACCATATCGCAGCGATGCTTTGGATCATTTTTCCTGGTCTTTGATTAAGTTGGTGCTGCAAGAGGAACAAGAAAATGTCATCATTTCACCCTTCTCTGTCAAATTGTCATTGGCTCTGCTCGCCGAGGCGGCAGGGAACGGCTCGCAAACTCAACGTGAGCTTTATAGCACACTAACAGATATCAAGCAACCGGACAATTTACGTGGTTTCTACAGAAAGTCGTTGGCAGTGTTGAAAAAAGATAATCCCTTCTATACGCTGAATGTGGAATCGAAGCTGTTCACCGATCTCGCTGTGGAGCCGCAACAACGCTTCGCTGCCATATTGAATAGCTACTATCACACGGATATCGAACGTTTGGACTTCACAAAGAGCAACGCTGCCGCGCAAACGATCAACGATTGGTGCAGCAATGTCACACAGGGTCGTCTAACGCAATTGGTCAATGAGGGCAATGTGCGCAATAATGTTTTGTTGATGGCGAATGTGTTGTATTTCAATGGTCTCTGGCGTCATCCATTCAATACCACCTTCGATGGTGTCTTCTTCCACACGCCACAAAAACAAGTGCGCGCTGAGTACATGGAACAAACCGATTTCTTCTATTACTACAACGACGCCGCATTGGATGCGAAAATTTTGCGCTTGCCATATAAAGGTAAAAAATTCTCAATGTTTCTGTTGTTGCCAAAGACGATGGGCAACATTGAGTTGCTGACACAGAATTTGGCCAATGACCAGTTGAAACGCATGCAATGGGCCATGGAGGCGGTGAAGGTGAAGGTGACAATGCCGAAATTCAAGTTTGACTTTGACAAGAATTTGAAACCGACGCTACAACAATTGGGTATCAACGATATCTTCACCAGCGAAGCTTCCTTGCCGGGCTTGGCGCGCGGTTCGGCCGTTTCGGGGCTATTGAAGGTGTCGAATGTTTTTCAGAAAAGCGGCATTGATGTGAATGAGAAGGGTACTGAGGCGGTCGCTTCGACGGTGGTGGAGGTCGAGAACAAATTCGGTGGTACGCCGCTCATTGAGGAGTTTAATGTCAATCAGCCGTTTATTTTCTTCATCGAGGAGGAGGCTACGGGAAATATTATATTTGCCGGCAAAGTGTTGGTGCCGACGGTTTGAAAATGATTTGGCGAATATATATGCCAGTGTGTATTATATAAATGCATATAATTAATATTTAATTTTACAGTCACAAAACGTGAGCGGCATAAAGTGAACAAATAAAAATTTATAAGCATATAATGAGCGTTATAATTAAGAAATTACTTTTAAATTTGTTCAAATGTATGTGTATACATACGTACCTACCACATGCACATGGGTAAAAGTAAGCTCTATGCATGTATGTAAAATTAAGTTATTTAAGTAAGCTTAACATTTTTTTTTATATAATTTCAATACATACTTTGTTTTTGAGATGTGAAATATGTGATAAGTTTTTGTAGAAACAATTAATAAATCACTTAGAAACTCGAACGTAATACCAAGAAATAAGAAAGTCTAATGGTTTTTATGAATTTTTTGTGCTCTGTGATAACGTGTTTTGTGCTCAGCAATTCCTCAGGTGCAGTTTGTTCTTTTCTCGACACTCTGGTAAATTACAACACTTTCCCACTTTCTGTCAGTCAGAAAGATGTTGTTTGTAGGCTTCAAAAAATGGATTTTGTTCGTAATTCTATTCTAAACCTCTGCAATAATATGTATTCAAAATTTTAGTGGAAAATTTTAAATATTTTAGAAGCTAGAGCAATTTTAGTGGCCGAGCGTCAAGCAGGTTAGAATGCTCGGGTAGAACCTTGAAGCGCATTTTCTCTAGTCTTGGTTCTTAAGAGTCTTAGAAAACTTGGCGATGATATTAAAAAGAATATATGCCCTATCAAAAAAAATCAAAGTGATTTAGCCTGAGTATTAAATTATTTCCCATTTGACTTTAATTATCGAACTTTATCCCAATTATTTGTACACTCACTGATCCGAATCTTATTGACTAATTTCTTGCCGCTTAGGTTAGATTAGGTTAGGTAAGGTTGCAGTAGCAGTTCTACCGAGTCGGATTTTCTTCTTATTTTTCATTATCCATCCATTTTGGTTCTCTAATAAGCTTCATTGGATTCATGACATTGACGTCAGCTGTCCGAGATAGACCATCCAGCAATATGACCCCAAAATTTTGAAGCCTCACTCTGCTCAAAGCAGAACATTCGTAGCAGAGATAGGTGATCTTTTACTCTTCCTCTTCTGTAGGGAGTTCTAGTCTTACTACGCGTCATCCTATCGGACAGTGGCCTTTAAGAACTCCTATTACTTTGGACATGTCACTTTGCCTTCTCATCCCATTTCGGACATGTGCACCTTTCAGCGGCTTGTTCGTATATGAATTCCTCATTTGCAAGTAGCAAACGGCATACCAATGCGTTCTTTATCGGGAAGCATCAGCGTGGTTGTACCCTGCCTAGCAAGTTCATTTGCCTTAGAATTTTCCTCAATGTCTCTGTGACCAGTGACCCACGTGAGCAGACAATATACGTATTCTGTTTGGTCATATCCTTTAAAAATCGACGACAGTACAGTACTAATTTGGAGCATACCTTAAGCGAGCTCAGAAGATATCATTATCTTTAAAGGTGGCTCTAATTTGCTTTGCAGCCCACCCGATACCAGATATCTCCGACTGGAAAACACAGCAATGGTTCAGTAGCCTGAACGAGGATTCCATCGGAGAGTTTTCTGGGAAGACACTTCCGTTAACTTTTCCCTCAAGCTTTGAAACTCTTTACCTCCTCTTTTGAGACATTTTCAAGTCCACGGGTTGCCAAAGATCCTAGATGTCAAAAAGGTATTTCCGTAATGCCGTTCAATACAAAGGAGGTGTTTCAATATTTCACTTATGCCCGGCTCTGATGAAAGTGATTGAATCTATTATTGGTGATTTTGTGATTTTGTATTCTTCTGCGTCACCTTGATTCTGTCGCAGCTTTTTAGGAAATTTCATTGCACAAATTCTTTAGCGTCTTTCGTATTTAACTAGTTAGTCAAGGGGCCAGAACGACTACTTAAGTTCGCGAAAAGAATATCAATGTTCTTCACACTAGAGACACGATAGGGGTATAGGAGTACAGCTTGGTCACATGCAGTGTGGCTGGCAGTACTATGGATGTATTTCTTCTACGTGAGACCCAATGGCTCAACCAGCTTAACCTAACCTTAGCTTCGTATTTAATTCGTCCTGGCTCATTCGGTTTGGTCACCAAACAGAGAGCGCTTTTGGTAATGTACATAATTGGCGCTCTATAACCGCTGAAACGATGTTTCGCCGAGCCTCAATCATTGCCAGATAGATCTGTTAGGAAGCTATCTACCTTCGAAGTACTGAACCAGTAAATTATCTCAAAAAAAAACTTTCAAAATATTTTGCATTTTTTGTCTTACATTTTCAGAATTTTTAAGGAAAGGATTGCTTGGGACCAGGCTTGAAGTTGTACACCTCTTTCAATATTATTTCGATTACTGCTCTGCAAGTGCCATTCGGAAGGCCACTCTTAATAAATCATTCTCAAGACAAGCAATTCTGATTTGAACGCCACTAACAGGCCTATTCTCACTGTTATTGTTAAAGTAAATTTTGCTAATTTTTTTAACATCTGAAATCGACGACCTGGTTATAATGTTTGAAACAACTTTGGCAGCACTGTTTTTTTCGTTTGACAGTTGGTAAACAAATTTGGCTGGTAACAAAATTTACAGAGTAACAGTGAACTCGAATACAAAATAGTAACAAAATTTACTGAATGGATCTTCTCTTCAATTGACACGCTCGTCAGATTTACAGTAATAATGAAATGGTTCTTTTATATACGGTAGCTTTAAACAATAACTGCCTTAAGCAGATTAAGGGGCACGGTTTTTTATTATTTTCTTTCATTATTGAATACTTGTGAGTTTTACGAAAATTTAGTTGGTAATTAAAAGCAAATTAATTATTGAGCCATAAAAAATTAAAATGCAGTAAGTTTGAAAATACAATATTTTCGTTATTTTTTTTATGAGATTTTAACTCTTATTTTTCGTTGACTCTAATGTTATTTTTTAAAGCGTATGCGAAGTGAATCAATTGGACAAGATGAGACTATAAATATTGGATGAGTGCATAAGTTCGTGCCCGACTTTTATTAATCAATTATGTATTCGCCATCATGTTCGGCAATCCACTCCAAACGTTCAACCAATTTACGGATGCCTGATTCATAGAAATCGCGCGGTTTCTCGTTGAAAAAGGTGTCAAGGTGGTTTTTGACGTCTTCCACATTTTTAAATTTTTTCCATTCAAATCAGAAGGTGCAATGTCGGGTGAATATGGGGGATGCGGCATGATTTCCCAATTCATCTCCTTCAGTTTGGCCAGGATCGGTTTTGCAACATGTGGCCTGGTGGAGTGCTGCAGCACGGTCTAAATAAACTTCGCGAATATCTTTAGTTGCAGCGCCTACTGTTTTTCCTTTGCGGAATTCGTATAAGATAATATGACCCATATGATCTTTTTCGTTGTCCATCTTCCATGCGTCTTTTCACTAAGCAACTCAAATCAAAATGAAGTTATTTTATGCTTGATTTACAGTTCGGTCTGTCACCTTTCCAACCATATATAATATGTATATATTATATTTCTTTCACGAGCGCTACTCTCAAACGATTCGAACGGCATTCAGCGGAATCGGGCACGAAGTTATGCACTCATCCAATCTTTTCTTTAACAATTTATTTTTTTTTTGAAAATATGATACTGTTCTGAGCCGAATCACTACATATCATCCTCTTTCCTTTTAAAAGTTTAGTATAGATCTATTTTAACAAAATTTTTCAGCTAAGCGTTTAAAGTTATTTATATAAAATATTGAAAATCCCTATTGGGATGGAACAATTTGATTCAAGTTATATGTACATTTACACATGTATATATGCACTCATATATAAGTATATTTATATATGAATGTAACCCGTAGAAATACCTCTCATAAAAACCACTGTACAAAACTAATAGGCATTTGGAAATACCAAAACCACGCGTGACTGCTCACTTAAGCGTTAACAGTTTTTCTCTGAAAGAGACTCGTCAACTCATCTCACGTAATGATAATGATGATGTCGACAAAATGATGCTCTTTTAGCACTATAGTATACCTGCATATGCACTAACGTGCTCGCTTGTTCGAGAGTAGATTTTGAAGTGCTGGATTTATTTTGATACTTGACTGAAGAGTTGAAAACTGAACGAAAATAGAAATAAAAAATGAAAATAAAAATTAAATAAAACTGTAACGAATTATTCATATGCAAATTCACCAGAAATTTTGTGACAATTTCCAGTTTATTAGTGTACAAAACACAATTCTCAATGGCACTTGATGGTTTGGAGAAAGCTCCAGTTGTTTCATAAGTGCGTCTTCAGTTTATTTCAACTATTAAAGTTTCTTTACGTAAATACTTTTTAGTGTTTATCGTGTTGTTTTTTTTTTATTTATTTATTCTAGCGTAAGCGAGTGGTTATGTGTGGGTGAGATGTTGTTAGTGCTCTTTTATATATATATAAATTTTAGCATCATATTTCGGTAATTCACACCATCATATTTGCAAAAATATATGATTGCAACAAAAATGGAGAAATCTCTTTTTGCTCTCAGTTTGTAACACAGAAGGATACAAACAAATTGACTTTAAGTGGAAGCTTTTGCCTTTTCTTCTGTCAAAGCGTAATTTAGACCAAATGCAGCGCGCGCTCATCTTCGAAAAATTTCTCATTCCTTAGACATGCAACTGGCGGCAACCTTCTCGCATAAATCAAATATCTATTCTCAACTCAGTCTGAATATTTATTCCAGTTTAGTGATTAATATTTTCTAAAGCTTTGTTTAAGGTTGGTTATAAATCGTTTAGATGTCTCAGTTTCAAAGGCATGCGCATAACCTGCAGTTATAAGAAAGACTGCACACCAGAGGCTTGAAAAATGTAAAGCAATGTAAAGCAGAGTACAAATGAAGTATCATAAGCTAACAAAAATCTACACGAAGATAATAATTTTAAAAATTATTGGATGATTGTTAAGTATCTACATCTTTCACTGAATTTTTTCTGAGTACTGTCTGCCGCAAAAGAAAAAATAATCAACTTACCTTACCTTACTGAAGGGAGAAACAGGAAACTTTATATCTATGCATAGCTATTTCACGAAAAATTCCTCTAACCTCTTTTCGTAACGTCTCTTTCCTCATTCCGCTCCATTCTCTGCACTCAGCTGATTTCACTTTATCTATTGTAGCTTGTGCAGATGATATCTCAGGGTTAGAGGACCCGTCAATACAACGAAAAGAAAACTAAGCTCCCGTTTGTTAAAAGTTAATACCAGTTTGGTTTGTCTACCATCCACATTGGATGGAACGTCTTAGGGCGGAAGTGTTCCAGAACGACAAAAGCCGTTTAAGGCCCATTATCTCTTGTTA